CACCTCCCTGATCATTCAGTTATTATCCACACCAAGCATCCATCCACATACATCCTCTATCTCTATTTTAATCACAATTGTTAACAAAGCGAGATAAATACAACAAAAGGGCGGGGTGCTGTTTCTGTTGTTACAGAGTATTGCTCTGAGTCTCTCTTGTTGTGAGTAGTTGTTGTTACAAAGTATTGCTTTGAGAACAGACTCTGTCTTAGGATGTACTAACACAATTAGCAGCTTGAAAGTTTCACACTGAGAGGGAGAGAAACAGTAAAAATAAGAGACCAAGAGACCTCTTAATTAGTAAAAAGAAAAGGAGTACTTGTGGCACCTTAGAGACTAACCAATTTATTTCAGCATAAGCTTTTGTGAGCTAGAGCTCACTTCATTGGATGCTGTAGCTCACAAAAGCTTATGCTCAAATAAATTGGTTAGTCTCTAAGGTGCCATAAGTACTCCTTTTCTTTTTGTGAATACAGACTAACACGGCTGTTACTCTCAAACCTCTTAATTAGTAATACCCTGGAATTTAAACTATGGAGAATCAAACTCATTTGTGATTTTAATACAGAACTTCTTTAACGTGATCCAACATAACGTCTGGGCCATATAAACAGGAACAGAAAATGGAGCAGAGAGAGAGAGAGCTCCTTGTTGTAAGGATTCCTGAACTGAAGACTGATTAAAAGGAGATGGTATTTTTGTTAATGTGTGTCAGCTTCTCCTTGCCTCAGGACAGGTAAGTCTGAAATCTATTGTTGTTCCACTTGGGGAAATTAAGATGGGGTATAGCTCCAGTGTCCAAGAGGGGCATACAGAGACTGTTCACCCATTCACAGGCTGACTACCCTGTTTTTCCTGGAAGACTCTGTGGACAACTAAAGACCTACCAGGTTTACATCATAGGTAGCAAAGAAGTGAAAACTGACTGAGAGGGGAAGCATATTTTTATTCAAAATTGTTGGAAAAAAGCTGTCTTTGTTAATGATTTATCATTTTCGATTAAGGGCTAAGGCTTTCCCTCCACTTCTCTGGACTCTTCCAGGGAGACTTCCACTGAAGACAGAGTTGATATTTTTTAGGTTTAAAAAAAAATACAGTCCCACTCCTTTTTAATTGTCTAAACCTTTCAGGCATTCATACATTATAAAGAAACCAAAAAAAGGGCATAAGCTCCATGGTTTTTAAAGTTTCCAGGTCACCTTTAATATGCATTTTTTTTTGCATCTCAGAGAGGAGAATGCAAATAATGTCATTAGCTGCACAGTGGCAGCACTGACGTTACAGTATTGCACTACACAAATACATTAACTAACAGCAAACAATTTACTATTCTGTTTCAAGGACAGTATATTTGATTTCTAAATCTTTTGTACATGGTCCAAGCATCTGCAGAGCACACCTTACGGGCTACACAGGGAATGTGACCTCTGTGCATTAACATATAATGTATATCCTGCAGTAATCAAGGCATGGTGTTAACATTTGACACAAGACACACGGTGACTGCAGACAGCCTGTAGTTTAATTCTAAGTCACAAGCTTCATTAGCAGCAGAGGCTAGATAATTTTCAATCAACGAATTTTTCTAACAGCACCACCACCCTACAGCAAGTCAGAGGGAAACAATCCAAAATAGTTTCTGACTGAATAATAACTCCTACTTTGGAACAATAATTAGCTCATTGGACCTAAACTTTAACATTGTCTCAGCAAAATATTCTCAGTTTAAGGACTAAAAATCACTTCATAATTAACAAAGTGTTTAATGGAATTGTTTATATTCTGTTCTGTTTTTCATTAATAGTTTTGATATTTAGAGGAATACTCACATTATTTTAAAGGAATGTTAAGGTAACAATCATATTTAAAATCATCCATAACTATGTTATCAAAGGCATACAATAGATTAACACTGAAGGACAAATAAATGTCTATTTCTCTTTCTGGCATTTATGATGCTAATTTATTACACTTCACTCAACTTGGGCAACGAAATTAGCATTGGTCAGTTTTACTTTTTGGACAAGACTATGGCCTTAAGCCACCACATGTGGAAGTGCGTGTGCATGCCTGAATGCAAGCACACACCTGGACAGCTTAGGAGGGCTGCACGCACGTGGCATCTCCCAGGAGCATTAGCCTGTTTAGGTACAATGGCTCATGATGTATTTTGAAGTTCAAACTAGTGCAGCTGCTGCTCTTCCATCTTTCTGTGAGGTATAGGATACCAACGTGAGATGTTCATTCTGAAGCCTAATGATGTCAGCATAGACATCAATCTTGTTAATTATTTCACTTCTAATTAAAAAGAAAGATAATCACATTATGAATTTTTGCACAGTCTACTGGGAGTGACATCTGAGTGTGATATCTCATAGTGATGTCAAGAGTTGGTGCAGGGTAGGTTATAGATCAGAGGTGGGCAAACTATGGCCCGTGGCCACATCCGGCCCACGGGACCGTCCTACCTGGCCCCTGAGCTCCCGACCAGGGGGGCTAGTCCTAAGCCCCTCCCCCCCAGCCTCAGTGCGCTGCGCTGTCAGCGCTCTGGCCCGCCGCTCATGGGGTACATGGCATTGGCCACTGTTGGAAGACAGGATACTGGGCTAGATGGACCTTTGGTCTGACCCAGTATGACCGTTCTTATGATTTTAAACTCCATCTTGCAACTGGATTTGCACAGGTGGCTCTCTGCACAGAGCCCACTGACTTCAAAGGGTCTCCCTATAGGTATAATTGAAGGATCAGGCCATTAAAGTTCTATTTTGATCCATTTGTAAGTACATATTGTAATTTATAATCAAAGGGTATGTAATTTTCTGACTAAATGCCTCCATGAAGTAAAACTACATTTCACTGATGGCAGGGGTCCCAGGCTGTGCCCCCCCCCCCCCCACAGCACCAGCAGGGGTCCCAGGCCGCGCACCAACACATCCCCTCAGAGCACCCGCAGCACTCCTCGGCCGCCCTCTGCCCTAGACCTCCCAAGATTTTAGTCAGGAGCATAAAATATAAGTCAGGGACAGGTCACAGGCTGTGAATTTTTGTTTATTGCCCATAATTAAAGATTCCTTAGCAAGAAAGTGGACTCTGTGCAGAGTGCAGGGAACATTTTTCAGATTAGGTAAAACAGGTGCGGCTTCTTGCGATATGGCAGCAGGGAGATGCTGGCTGCTGCGATGTTCAGACTGCTTATTTGGTCTACCTTTGTCACCAGTCACTGCTCTGAGAAAAAGACCATTGTTCCAGTCCTGCTGTTGGATCAATGCAGGCAGACCCTTGCCCCCATGCAGAGCTCCACTGACTTTTGGCTCTGGGGATCCAGTCTGTTCGTGATGGCACCTTTGATATTCTCCCATTATTTCCATGACACTTGAGTGCTCATAAAAGTGAGCTGGCTATAGCAAGGCCTTTGCCCTTTTAACAAGCAAAGAAACATCCCACTAGCCCGCTCTCTTTCCTCCTATATCCATCACACGCACCCCATTCCCCCCACTATACCTCCCCATTGCTTCCCTGCAATGCTCTCAACCCTCATGATACATTCATCCCACTTTCCCCATCACATATCCACCTGGCCTCCATCCCACTGCTCCCCCACTATCCCCCCAGAAATCCCCTACCATCCCCCAACAGCCCCATGTTCCCCATCCATCCCAATAACCCACCACTCACTCCAATGCCCCATCTATCTCCGGAAAAGTCCCTATTCCCCACCAGTGCTACATCCATTCCCTCAACACCTCCCACTCCCCCTACAATGACCCACCCAACCCTCGCTCTCCCCAACGCCTAACCTGTCCCCTGCAACAATCCTCCACTCCCTCTGCTATACCCCACTCTCCTCCCCAACAGCCCCCACTCTCTGCAACACCACACCCGACCCTCTGACAGCCCCTGCTCTCCCCGTAACACCCCACCCACCTGCCCTGATAGCTCCCTGCTCTCTCCAACGCCACCCGTCCCCCCAACAGCCCCTGCTCTCCCAGCAACACCCTACACATCCTCCTGACAGCCCCCCACTCACCCCAACCCCCACCCGCTCCCAGACAGCCCCCCGCTGCCCCAACCCCCCACCCGTCCCCCAAAAACCCCTGCTCTCCTCAATCCCCACAGCCCCCCACTCTCCCTAATCCTCACCCGTCCCCCCGAAAACCCCTGCTCTCCTCAACCCCCACCCGTCCCCCTACAGCCCCCCACTCTCCCTAACCCCCACCCGTCCCCCCGAAAACCCCTGCTCTCCTCAACCCCCACCCGTCCCCCTACAGCCCCCCACTCTCCCTAACCCCCACCCGTCCCCCCGAAAACCCCCGGTCTCCTCAACCACCACCAGTCCCCCCACAGCCCCCCACTCTCCTCAACTCCCACCCGTCCCCCGGAAAACCCCTACTCTCCTCAACCCCCACCCGTCCCCCCACAGCCCCCCACTCTGCCCATCCCCCACCCGTCCCCCGGAAAACCCCCGGTCTCCTCAACCACCACCAGTCCCCCCCACTGCCCCCCACTCTCCTCAACCCCCACCCGTCCCCCCACAGCCCCCCACTCTCCCCATCCCCCACCCGTCCCCCGGAAAACCCCTGCTCTCCTCAACCCCCACCCATCCCCCCACAGCCCCCTGCTCTCCTCAACCCCCACCCGTCCCCGGACAACCCCTCTCTCCTCAACCCCCACCCATCCCCCCACAGCCCCCTGCTCTCCTCAACCCCCACCCGTCCCCGGACAACCCCCTCCCGTCCCCCCGACAACCGTCCCCCACCCACCCCCGGGAGTCACCCCGTCTCTCTCTCACGCACACTCCGCGCCTCCGCTTTCTCCCTCCCAGGCCGCGCCGCCGGGGGGGGGCAGGGGGGGCGCAAGGGGGCGGGGGGGGCTCTGACTAGTTCCGCTTCCCTGGTCTGGGGGCGGGGCGCTCCGAGCCGGGCTGGGCCCCGCCTCCCGCGGCCCGGCTATATATTGGCGGCGGGGCCAGGCGGCGCGGCGGGTCTCGGGCGTTGGGTGAGTGGAGGGGGCCGGGGAGCCGAGCCGGCCGGGGGAGGCGCCGGCAGCCGGCTCCTCCTTTGCGCACGTGTCTGCCGCGGGGCCTCCGGAACCACCAACGACCCCCACTCCCCAGGTGCCGCTGCTGGGGCCCGCAGGGGCGGGCTGGAGCCACAGCGGCTCCAGCCTGCGCGATCCGCCGCCGCCGGTGCGGCTGCAGCGCGGAGCCGCTCGAGCAGCTGCCCGTCACGCGGTGCGAGAGGCGCGGGGAATCCTCGCTGCGGCGCTCGCTCCCAGGCGCCGCTGTTTCCAGTGCGGGCCATCGCCTCTGGGGCAGCGAGCTGTGCCCGTGAAGTTCATTCAATGGACTTGCCACCGCTCAGCCCCGTTAGAGCCGGCCGCTGACTGCCTGGACACGTTTGTCCCTTTCTGTTTGTGACCTGTCGGCAGACCGGCTTGCCTCTCAAAGCCCTTCCTTGTTCCCAGCGGCCTGGCTTCTGCCAGCAGTGCCTGGTCTGGCGCTCACAAGCAGATCGTTGTGTGTATTAGAAATTGGGGGTGTCTCAGTGTCGAAGTCTGAGGGTTTTCAGAGTAGCAGCCGTGTTAGTCTGTATTCGCAAAAAGAAGAGGAGGACTTGTGGCACCTTAGAGACTAACCGATTTATTTGAGCGTAAGCTTTCGTGAGCTACAGCATCCAATGAAGTGAGCTGTAGCTCACGAAAGCTTACGCTCAAATAAATTGGTTAGTCTCTAAGGTGCCACAAGTACTCCTTTTCTTTTTAATTTGAGTGTCCCTTAGCATTGTGCTTCTGATGTAAATAGTGGTGATTACAAATGCCCAGTTTGCTTTCAGTGTATATTCTACAACATTTGCTTAGAAATGTGTACTGGCTAGAATATTCATGGAAGATAGAGATGTGCCCATAACTAGTAAAAGCTTGTTTAAAAAAAAAAAAAGTAAGCTGACCTAAGTCCGCAGGTAGGCAGTGCTAGGTTGGTGGAAGAATTCTTCTGTTGATTTAGCTACCGCCTTTTGGGGAGGTGGATTAACAAGGCTGTTGGGAGAACCTCTCCCCTCACGAAGTGTCAGTCCTGAAGTTCTACAGTGGCACAGCTGATCTGGGGTAGCATTTTCAACGTAGACATAGCCTAACACTCTCCCACCTTCCCTTAGATCACAAGCTCTGAAGGAAGTTTCCTTCCTCTGTTCTATTCATGTAATGTGCATGACTTTAATTTTTTTTTTAATTAACAGGTAGTGCAGGAAAGAGCTTGCAGAGACATGGATACAAACTTCTCCTACCTAAATTGAAACAGTAGGACAGCCTCAGGCTTATGCTTCTACTCTTCTCAAAGCTTGCATTTGGACAATGAAAAAACAAGTCCATTCTTATTAGGGTGAAGGGTAAGAGCCCCAGCCAAGAAATGGCACTTTTATGGCCCTTGTATTCAAATTCTACTTTGGTCATTGGCCTGCTGTGTCCTTAAGCAAGTCAAAAGTCATGCCCTGTCTTTCTGGTCTCTGAAGTGGGGCATTAGTCCTTATTTTGCAGGAGGGTCTTGTGGCTTAATCATTCAGTATTTGGAGAGTCCTTTGAGGTCCTTGGCTGGAAGACACTGTTTTAGGTAACAGAATTGTTAAATGTAAATTTCCTGAAAATCTCTTACATGACTCCTGGATTTCTTTGGATTTGTAGTATGAATGAGTGATTGCTATTTTAACAATCATTTGACTTAGTCACTTATTTATTACTGTAAATTCAGAGAAATCTACAGGATTATAAATGGTGGTCAATTATTTTTGTCACGGTCCAGATTTCTCAGTCAAGGTATAGTGAAGGTCCAGAATCCAAAGAAATTTAAAAAAATAAAAAGATTTCAGGGTCTGCTCAAAAGTATCTGGCAGTTTGGATTTAGCCCGCAGTCTGCCTATTGACTACCCGTGCAATAAATGATGGCTTAGATTTAATTATGTAATCTTAAATCTAGTGCTGTGGCTGGGTACTTGTGTTGGTCAGAGTACTTTCTTTGAAAAACTCTTCCTTGTTTTGCCTTCACTTTCCCAGTGTGTGATAAATCTCATCGGCAGGATGGAATAGAAATGAACATATATTCCGTTTGTGGCTTGGTATGGTTTCCTTTACATTTAGTGCAGTGTAGCAATAATGCAAGTTCCACTGCAATGAGAGACTCACTACTTCATAGTGATTCCCTTCATTCACAGACTCTTTAGTCTCTTTGATTTTTTTTTCTTTTGCTCTTCTCTGAGATCAAAGGGGCTAAATCACAAAGTGCTTTGAGGACAGTAATGATATTAATTTCAGGATAATTAAGTATAACAATTTTGGAGCCTTTTTATCTTGAAATAACAGTAGCTAGTTAACTATGCTATTGGGAATAATACCTTTCAAATCTTTAAATATAATTCAGAAATACAGTATGTACTAGTAATGGCTGATTTTTTTTATCCCATTATATTCAGTCTAGTACAAGCCAGACCTTTCTAGAATGGAAAGAGTCAGCACTTTCATAAGTGTAAATAACGATTTGGCACAAAATTTTTCTGCTGTCAAAGTGATAAACAGGCATGTAGGAACAGACCTTTCAAAATGTTTCTTACAAACCCATGTCTGTCCATCACAGAACTTTAGAAAGGATGCAGTACAACTGTTCTTACAATTTCCTTGTCAGAATGTATCCTTCCCTGCATACTGTGAGTTGCTTTCCCTCTCATTTCTTTATCAGTTATCCCCCAAAACACTTTGGATGAAATATTTATACAATACATATTAGGAGTGTTTTAATTCTTCTGTGGATTTTCCCTTTATTTGAAAAAATTAATGTAAGAAAGGGGATACTCTGCTAGTACAACTGCTCACTCTCCTTATCTCATTTTTAAAAAGTACCATGCTGAATATATGGCTGGCATTATTTACCCATGCATGTAGATCTTTGAATTTCAAACTAGTTTAAGTCTTTAATATTAGTTTTCTAACTTGGTTCTGTTGCCCAAAACAAAACCTTTCCCCTCATGAAATAGCCTTTGCACTGATCTGCGGATTTATTTTAATGAGTGGTGCTTTATTTGAAAACATTGCCCTTGTAGGGTATTTATTATGCCAACCGCCTTCCTGAGAGACAAAACCAAATAAAATCCACACTGGGCGGCATTCTGTAAATTGAACCTGGGGCTTCCATTAAAAAGACTTATATTGGGAATACAAGGCAACCAAACCCCTTTCCAGATATTTCCTACATATTCCTGTCATCCTTTGTGATACTGATATCTGTCTTAAGTATTTATATGGCTTCCACTCTAGTACCTTAGTTCCTCATGATCTTTAGTGCAGTTATCTTAATGCATCCCTCTGAAGTAGAAAGGTACTATTCTTCCCATTTGTAAAATGGGGAAGTGAGGCACAGAGGGACTAGGTAATGTGCCCAGGGTCACACAGGAAATCTTTGGTAGAGCAGGGAATTGAACCTGGGTTTCCAAGTACAAGTCTAGGGCTCTAACCATTGGACCATCTTTTCTCTGCCATAGAACTCTTGATTTAAGAGAAGATAAATAGAAGTGGATATATGGGCATAATGGGTGGTCTGTAGAAAGTAGTTTAGCTGAAATATGCAGGTTAACAATAGTTTTAACGTTTTTTCCTTTTCCACCTTAGGTATACATATCACGACATCTTACCTGTCATTGGAGATTTCGTATTCCATAGTAAGCAATAAGCAAGTGTGAAACATGAGGACAAATCCCGCCATTCAGGCTGCCATTGACCTCACAGCAGGTGCAGCAGGTAATACTGGAGAAAACTCTGTTTTCAAAGGTTTCAGAGTAGCAGCCGTGTTAATTTGTATTCGCAAAAAGAAAAGGAGTACTTGTGGCACCTTAGAGACTAACAAATTTATTTGAGCATAAGCTTTCGTGAGCTACAGCTCACTTCATTGGATGCTCAAATAAATTTGTTCGTCTCTAAGGTGCCACAAGTACTCCTTTTTTCTGTTTTCAAAGTTTCTGAGACTCTGATGCAAAAAAGCTTGTGCTCTTAAAGTAAGTCTCCTCACAAGTGTAAAGACAGTAATCTGATTGCTAAATGATGATTTGTCATATTGGCACTGTTAATAATTGAAAATCTTTACAAGAGGCACATCTTCCACATTTGAAGTAAGATGTTGAGATGAAGGAGGGAACTAACTGACTTAGCCCAGTGTTGCAAACATCTGATAGGTTAATATAACTCCACTGAAACCAATGCCAACAAGTAAATATGTAACCTCTTTTAGACTAATGATTTTCTAAGAGTAGGTTTGAGTACATCTAATGTGTATTTTCATGCTCACATGAGTTTCAGAATGTCAGTCACAAGTAAAGTTTTGCAATGAAGGCAAACACCATGTGCAAGCAAAGTAGTCGAGATAATGCTTCAGTCCTAAAAACTCTCCCTAATTGAAAGGGGCAGAAAGCTATCTGAAGGGTGATCTCTTTAACCAACATTCAGAAAGCCTCTTTGGAAGATGAGGAAACATTATGGTATTCAGAATAATGTAACATAAGGTCAGCAGTTCACTTAAGTTGTTCCTCCACTTAGCTACAAATGAAAATACCAATTTCTCATATCGCCTAAAATATGGTTGGTAAGGATGAAACATCAGGAGAAATAAATTAACTTTAAGTTGAGTTCTACAAAGAGCATGGAAAATACACATCTATGTACAGTGCCTAACACTGCTGCTGGTGCTCTACTACTAACAAATTCAACACATTAGCCATCTAATCACATCTCTTGCATATTCTAATACAGCTAATTCAGGGTATGTCTACACAGCAAAGAAAAACCCCTACCTAGCCTTGACCTCCAGCCTAAGCCCAGAAGTTTATATAGTAATGAAACAGCCTCACAGTCCAAGTCGGCTGACATGGGCCAACCGTGGGTGTCAAGTTGCTGTGCAGATATACACAGAGTTAGTGTTCTAGGAATGTTCCCTGTATTTGTGCTATGGATCCAAGAATATTAGCCATGACTCAAATGTTACAAGACACCTATGATCCAAGGTCTAAATCCAGAGGTCAGTGTGAAATATGATGGCATGTGGAGGGAAAAGAGGGTGCAGCTACCATTATCCAGGGGTAACACCTATAAGAAGGTTGCCAGAGTTTCCACCAGGCTGCTGTCCCTTGACTCTGCCCAGGTATACTTGTTTTATATTGGCCTGTGGCTATTCAGTATGTGACTGACAGACTTGAAGATTTCCACACAAAGGCCCATTCTGGCTGATGGAAAGGAGAGGGAGCCTTCTATTTATTTCCCCTGTTACCTCATCACCATCCCAGAGCAGCCTATTTCTGCTATTTCTTCTACTTTGCTTTTGGGTCCTTATTGTAGTGATTCACAAGCAAGATCTGCTGCTGTCCCAAACAATAGTACAGTGAAATCACTGTTTTTTTTGTTGTTTTTTGGTCCGCTTCACCGATGCTCACAGGGTTGAAATAGCAGCAGCAAAAACTAACCTCTAGTCAGTATCACAGCAGTCAATCCTCACAAAGATAACTTTGTCAGTGAAAGCCAATACAGTGTCATCTTGGCTCTCATGAGGGCTAGGAAACCTAGTTTTCATTTAAAGAGATTTGCCAAAGCTGATGGCATTTCTCCCCCCCATCTCCCCTCCCACCCCCATTACATCCACTATTCAGGGAAATCTGCCTATTTTCTGTCAGTAAACAGGTTTAAAGGTAGATTATAGTTCTTTGCTCTATTTCCTCTTTTGGTTGCAACTCAAATATTAACTTCAAACAGCATGAAGAAGCGAAAGCCTTTAAACGTCTCTATCACTTTGATACTTGAAATCCTTTATAAAGAGATTGTTCTTGCTTTGCTTACTCGATTAGCTGTAAAATCCTCCTCCTTTGTTTTAATAGGCTGCTGTTAATCTTCCTTTCTATCCTCATCTTCTAGCATTTTTAAAGGTCTCCTTTATGTTTTCTGTCTCTTGCTGCAAGCTCACTATGTGTGCCTTGCTCTTGTTTTATGTTGGTTCCTACTGCTGTGCTGCATCTGGATCTTTGCCATTCAACAGAAGCTGACTTTACAGCATCCTAGGCTAGCAAACCAATTAACAGAAGATGTTGTAGGGATCCAATTAGCCAGTCCCTTGTTAAGTGTGTGGCCATGCTTCAGATTTCTCTCTGGAGATGTCTTGCCTGGCTGCTGGAGTAACTTGGCCCTCTGGCCAAAACAAGTCGTCCTCTTCTGGGGTAAATACATTCTAAACGAAAGTAAACAAGTACTTTTACCTTCAGTAGGCTACAGTCCTGTGTAGGAGGTGTGTGACACACAAGTCCTTCTCCTTGGTTGAATAGGACTTCTTCCCTTATACCAGTGCCTGAGCTATCCATGGCCTCGGCATCTAAGTCTTCCCTGTTGGTAAGTAGGGTTTTCCTAGTTGCCATTAGTTGGCAAGGGTTTCCTAAAGTCTTTCAGCCCTTAGTCAAGAGGGAATTAACTTGGACCTCTGCCCCTTATCTGAGGGCTCACAAATTCATTGCCCCTTGGTCACAGGAGTTCCTACACCACCTCCAACTCTGGGCTCTGGCCCTGGGACCCTGTATCAGCCATCCACCCTCAACTCACAGTTCCTCAGCTTCAGATTCCCAATACCATTTCCTACTTTCACTTCTCTCCAAAGAAGCCTTCTCCCTGGCCTCTTCCAGCAGTCATCAGCCAACCTACTTCCAGACAACATTCCTGGCTCTCTTTCAGTGAGGAGCCACCCCCAGTTTCTCTCCAGACTCTTGGCTGCTCTTTCCCCACCCTCACCCTAGACTGCCTCATGGGGGCTTCAGCAGAGCCCATCACAGGCACCTGCCCCAGCTCTCTCAACAGGGCGCCACATCTGCCCCTGCCAGCTTTTGCTGTCCTTAGTTAATCCCTCCGCTAGTGAGTACAGGAAGTGTCATATCCTGCTTCCAAGCCTGGTTAGCTGTGTAGCCTGCAATCACCTGATCTGGGAGGAAAATGAAACAGTGTGGGAGCTCAGATTGGAGTTCCTCTGGCTCACCCCATGACACAAGAGCAGCAGCAGTTTAATACAAACTGGCTCCACTCAGAGTGTGGGTACTAATGAGAATCACCCCTTCAAAACAAAATGTACCTTCTCCCTGCTTCAGAAACAACTAAAGGTGCTGGATTCACATAGGGTGACCAGATAGCAAGTGTAAAAAATTGGGATGGGGTAGGGCGTAATAGGAGCCTATATAAGAAAAAGCCCCCAAAACCGTGACTGTCCATATAAAATTGGGACACCTGGTCACCCTAGATTCACACATTCAGCTTCTTTAGTTTCTTGCATAATCTTTTCACATCATTCATTCAAATCTACTCATCCTTCATCTGATGAGGTGACGGCCTAATATACAGAGAATGTTAATTCCACTGATAACTCTTATTTCACCATCTAGTCAATGTATGAATTGATTGCCTTGTGTTATGAACAAATGTCTAACTGTTGTAAATCAAGCATTGATCTTTTTCATTTGGTACTTCTGTAACTTAAAAATGTTGCAAGAGCCAGTGTCGTCATTGGTGTCACCAAAGTTGATTGAGGTAGGCCTAATTATGCCAGTGGTGAATTTGTCCCTTTCTCCATATTGCTTTTTTGTTTTTTCTTCATTATGTTGAGTTTTTTTCACATGATCAGTAAGGGGTTGTTGAATATTAATAATCTTATTTCCTCAGGTGGGACTGCATGTGTGCTAACTGGCCAGCCCTTTGATACCGCTAAGGTGAAGATGCAGACATTTCCCAGCATGTATAAAGGACTCATTGAATGTATTGTGAAGACATATAAACAAGTTGGATTGCGAGGCTTCTACAAAGGGACCACCCCGGCACTTGTAGCCAACATAGCAGAAAACTCAGTCCTATTCATGTGCTATGGGTTTTGCCAGCAGATTGTGAGGGGCATTGTTGGATTAGACAGGAAAGCAAAACTGAGGTTAGTAACAGAAATTGTAATCTCCAGAATATTGTACAACTAGCAGTCAAGAGTAAATACTAATGTGCTGTATTTTAAAATGAAGTGCAGTCACCTTGCCCTTATCCGGGGTGCCATTTTGTCACTGTGCAAGTGCTAACTTTATTACACAAGACCTTGTCTCGGCAATTATGGTACATTTTTTCATAAGAACAGATGGCTGGTCTGTATGGGGTGTGCCTATTGCCAAAAAACCCAGATGTGAAATGTGTTGGTTCTTCCAAACACCATGATTTGTTTTGGGAAGGAGAAGAGAATTCTGTAAGCATCTTTCTTAAATCCCATGCTGTAGTATTTGTGAAGGAAAGGGTATGAAACTACTGGAGCATTGGCGGCTGTAACTCGTGCATCATTAAGAGAGGCTGCATCTTCATTGTCTGCACTGCTCCATGGATGGATATCAGTGATGGCTCAGGTGGTTTATGCGGTGACTCAGCACTGTCCCAACTGTCGTTCCCTCCAGAGCAATGATGATGCCGAATAACATTCACTTACTTGTTGTAACTGTGTTCCGGCTTCACTAATTTGCCATCAAAAAGGGGGAAGCTCTTGGTTGTGATTCTGCAAACTAGGTGTCCCCTCTAATACTTACAAGTTATTGAAAGTAAAACGTGAAAAATCAGTGTTGTGTGTGGGTAAATGGTACCTTTCTTTCCTGTCAGGTTTTAGGAAATGAACCCAGACACTTGTGGATCAAACTTTGGTTTAAGGATATGAGAATGTGCTTAGCTTCAGGCCGTTTAAAGACCAATTTTATTAGCTGCATTCCATCTGTATATACTTACAATTACCAGAATGAGAAGGTGGAGGAAATTTACACTACATCACTAGAGGCTAAAGTATTTTAGAAGTGATCACAATGTTTAAATATTCTAGTCTTACCCCATATCTCATCTCCCCTGAACACCAGGTCAGTTTGCTCTAGGTGATAGTCTGTTTAGTATATAACTAGTCAGAATGGATTTTGAAATAACTAAAGAGAAAACACGAACTATGAAGAAATTATGGGTTAATTGGAGAGCAGATGAATATGTAATGGAACAGGTGACTAGAGCACATAGTGATACCAAAGCCAAGTGCCTCCAACAACAAAGTGCATTTATCAATCTGCTTTTATTCCCTGGGGTGTTGTACTAAATACAGAATGAAAAGGAGTACTTGTGGCACCTTAGAGACTAACCCGTTTATCTGAGCATAAGCTTTCGTGAGCTACAGCTCATTTCTTCTATACTTTCCACATATGCATCTGATGATCTTTAGTTTATTTATTGCCTTAATTATTGCATGCTACTCAAACTCTGTTCTAAAGACAGAAGGTTATCACAAACATTTCTATTATCCTCTCCCCAAAGTGTTATTGATTAATCTTCACAACACCTCAGTGTTGCAAGAGCGTAGTAGTATCCTCATGTCACTGGTGGGGAGCTGAGGCACAGAAGTATCTGCTAGTTTTGGGGGCCCAATTTGAATCATCTAGGATGTGATTGTTTCCTCAAAGTACCTAGCATTATAATATCCAGAGCTCAGCTCCCCTTGACCTCTGTGCAGCTGTGAGTGCTCAGCACTTGTGGAAATCAGACCCCAGGGTCTCAGGTCAGGTACCCGGAAAATGAGGAGAACACAACTAGTGGCCACTTGAGAGACTTACGCAGCATCACACACACAAACTCCGTGACAAAGCCAAGGATCGAAGCCAGTTCTCCAGAGTTCTGTAGGTTTCAGAGTAGCAGCTGTGTTAGTCTGTATCCGCAAAAACAAAAGGAGGACTTGTGGCACCTTAGAGACTAACAAATTTATTTGAGCATAAACTTTTGTGAGCTACAGCTCACTTCAGCGGATGCATTCTGTAGAACTCCCTTAACGATGAGACAATCAAGTCTCTTCTTGCAATCTCCTGGCTCGTTAACCATACATCTTCCTACTTCTGCAACAAATGAAGTAGGGTCCTACACCAAACAGCCTCCTTCACTTGACAGCCCTGAGTCATCTCCAGAACAGGTTGATCCTGTGCATTGAATGAGGCAGGAAACCTCTGGGGCAAAAATAGCACGTAATTAGAGACTCTTATAATGCAGAGGTACCAGGGGCACAACACATGCACAAGGAAAGCTAAAACTTTAAAGATAAAATTGTAAGCCTCTCATTCTATAGACTGACTGTGGTATCCTAATCAAGATACTAGGGATTAAGTCACTGTACTCCAAAGCCAGAAAAATCTCCATTTAACTGAATTTAAACAAAAAACAGAGTTTTGGCTCAACTTTGGCAGTGAACTTGCTTCCTTAAATAATTCTCAACTCTGCCATATACTCTCAGCTTAACAGTAAATGAAAAATGATGAATACTACTTAAATACACTTGAATCTAGCATTGCTGGTTTTAAAGACTTTTTTTGTAGTATGTTAAAAATGCTCAGTATTCACCCTAAGTGAAGCCTAGTTTCTTAAACAGATGCCAAAATTAAATGGAAGTAAGACTCCTCAGTAAATTTAAAAATCTCATGGTCCATTTAATTTCCCAGTAAGGCACTTCTGCTCTTTTCATAGATTCAGAAAAAACTGCATCAGTGCATATTTAGAAAACCGAAAACATTCTGCTTAGGCAGCACTCTGGCACTTACTACATAATTTAAGGTACACTAGTTTAGAACATTAATATAGTCAAATTTATACACACTCTCTCTCTCTCTCTCTTCCCCCCACCCCCACCACTTTCCTAGGATCAAATGTTTTTCCATTCCTGGTTAGGGTGCTGAGTAACCAACACTCGGGTTGCATTCGGTCAACAGGCTCATGGAGTGTCTAATAAAAGCCATAGATGAGCTAAATTATGAAGACTCTGGCTTTCACAGTGTTTAAAAGTATTTGTGAAGATCTTAGATATACCGAACAGAGGTTCCAGCCTTTTAAATAGCTTCAAATGTACAATTTGTCATCACGAGACAGATGGATTGGGTGGCAGGGAAAACATGGAACTTTCAGATTTCTAAAGAATGTGTGAGGATTTTGCTATTTTTAAAGATCAAAATAAAATCCTTGCAGTAATACCCAAAAAATGTGAGATGGTAAACCCCTACTCCAGGACCTTCACACCCAGTAAAAGGACCAGAGCAGCATAAAAGGGCCCCAGAACCAAAGGTTGCAATGACAGGAGGATTTCTCCCACTGAAGGCAGTGTGGAAGACAGTTGTAAGATTGCCTTCAGAGGACCCCATTGCAAGCCTTGCTGTGGGGGCATGTTGGGGACAGACAGCCTGTGGAGGCTGCTGTAAATTACAGAGGGCTGGGAATCTGGGATTGTGTTACTCCAGGGGATTCTCCAGTTCTGGGAGCATCCCAAGATTGGGGGGACACAAAGGTGGCTGAAAGCCATCATAAGTCTATCCCCCATGTCCACACCCTGTCTGTGAGTTCTGTACTGCACCCCATTAGAGGCTCAGCAGAGCAGCTCAGCCATGGTCTACATTGTACCTAATTTCTCTGCCATGTCACTCATCCAAACTCTGGAAGGAGGGAAGAGTATCTTAGATCATCCTGACAGGTTTCAGAGTAGCAGCCGTGTTAGTCTGTATTCGCAAAAAAAAAAGGAGTACTTGTGGCACCTTAGAGACTAACAAATTTATTTGAGCATAAGCTTTCGTGAGCTACAGCTGATGAAGTGAGCTGTAGCTCACAAAAGCTTATGCTCAAATAAATTTGTTAGTCTCTAAGGTGCCACAAGTACTCCTTTTCTTTTTTTAGATCATCCTACTCATTTTGCTTCACCACAGAACTCCCACTTGAAGACACCAAAGTCTGAGGCTCTGTAGTGACCTAATTTTAAACAAACAAAAAAACCAAAACAGTTACTAACCTTTTCGTGACTACTGTTCTTTGAGGTGTGTTGCACAGGTCCACTCCACTGCATGCGCTACAATTGTTAGAGTAGGAGCTGTTCTCTGAGTGCATGATCCTTTGTTGATCACAGGGACATGTTGGTATGGTGCCAGCTATCTTTATAGAGGCACTGGCAAAAAAACTGGTAAAGAAGCTGTGGCCTTGTGATACCATGGGTTAGTGAAGCCATACAGTCTTGAATGTCAGGTTTCAGAGTAGCAGCCGTGTTAGTCTGTATTCGCAAAAAGAAAAGGAGGACTTGTGGCACCTTAGAGACTAACCAATTTATTTGAGCATAAGCTTTCGTGAGCTACAGCTCACTTCATCGGATGCATGCAGTGGACAATACAGTGGGGAGATTTATATACACAGAGAACATGAAACAATGGGTGTTACCATACACACTGTAACAAGATTGATCAGGTAAGGTGAGCTATTACCAGCAGAAGAGTGTGGGGGGGGAACCTTTTGTAGTGATGATCAAGGTGGGCCATTTCTAGCAGTTGACAAGAACGTCTGAGGAACAGTGGGGGGTGAGGGGGGTAATAAACATGCGGAAATAGTTTTACTTTGTGTAATGCCCCATCCACTCCCAGTCTCTATTCAAGCCTAAGTTAATTGTATCCAGTTTGCAAATTAATTCCAATTCAGCAGTCTCTCATTGGAGTCTGGTTTTTGAAGTATTTTTGTTGAAGAATTGCAACTTTTAGGTCTGTAATCGAGTGACCAAAGAGATTGAAGTGTTCTCCAACTGTTTGGATGTTTTAATTCTTGACGTCTGATTTGTGTCCATTTATTCTTCTACGTAGAGACTGTCCAGTTTGACCAATGTACATGTAATGGGGGGGGACGACTAGATAATTGGTCTGCTAAACCCAGGGTTGTGAGTTCAATCCTTGAGGGGGCCATTTAGAGATCTGTGGCAAAAATTGGGGATTGGTCCTGCATTGAGCAGGGGGTTGGACTAGATGACCTCCTGAGGTCCCTTCCAACCCTGATATTCTATGATTCTATACATGGCAGAGGGGCATTGCTGGTACATGATGGCATATATCACATTGGTAGATGTGCAGGTGAACGAGCCTCTGATAGTGTGGCTGGTGTGATTAGGCCCTATGATGATATCCCCAGAATAGATATGTGGACACCATTGGCAACGGGCTTTGTTGCAAGGATAGGTTCCTGGGTTAGTGGTTCTGTTGTGTGGTGTGTGGTTGCTGGTGAGTATTTGCTTCAGGTTGGGGGGCTGTCTGTAAGCAAGGACTGGCCTGTCTCCCAAGATCTGTGAGAGTGATGGGTCGTCCTTCAGGATAGGTTGTAGATCCTTGATAATACATTGGAGAGTTTTAGTTGAGGGCTGAAGGTGATTGCGTTCTGTTATTTTCTTTGTTGGGCCTGTCCTGTAGTAGATGACTTCTGGGTACTCTTCTGGCTCTGTCAATCTGTTTCTTCACTTCAGCAGGTGGGTACTGTAGTTGTAAGAATGCTTGATAGAGATCTTGTAGGTGTTTGTCTCTGTCTGAGGGGTTGAAGCAAATGCGGTTGTATTGTAGAGCTTGGCTGTAGACAATGGATTGTGTGGTGTGGTCTGAATGAAATTCACTTCAGGTCTTATTTGATTCATCGAATTGGTTGTGCTTTTTCATCAGAGAAATGGGAAAGATTATAATATACTTACATTTATATAGCTGTTGAAGGAGAAGAACTTATTTGAGTTGTATATGAAGATGGCTGGAGCTAGGTGTTAAGTTGGTCACCTCTTTTAAATGATTGCTTTTTCTTTTTTGCACTCTTGTTCAGTTTTTCTTTATTTGATAAAGCTTTTAGGAAATAGCCTACTGCAAGAGCACCCATCTTGTGACTGTAGAGCAGTGCCCAAGTATCAATTGTAGTTTCTTTGTTGCAGTGATCTGCAGAATGCAGCTTCAGGCTCTTTTGCTTCTGCATTTGCTGCCCTGGTCCTATGTCCCACAGAGCTGGTGAAGTGTCGGTTGCAGACCATGCATGAAATGCAGTTATCTGGAAAGATAGCAAAAGGACACAAGTAAGTATGTAATTTGCTCAATACCACTGAAATCCGTTGATGTTATACCTATTTTAAAAGTCCATCCTAGCACACTTAAGGTCTAGCTTGTACTGTGCTATTAATTGCACAAAGGGTGTGCTACTGATTGTCAGAATACATTCCTGGGGAATGCTAACTTAGGGTATGTCTTCACTGCAGAGTTAACTCAGGCTGTTACTAAAGTGTTTCCCTTAACTCCCCTACCTCCTTCTCTCCCCGGCCACAGAAACAGCCCTCTGACCTGAGTTTAGTGGTCCTTTCAACCTGGGTTAGCTGGTTCATCTGTGGCTGTAGGCTAAAAGCCAAGCGAGGCTTTCACTCAGGCTAGTAACCTGCTCACTTTGCAGTGACGATATGTGCTAAGTCACTTGAGTGGCAGTAGTCCTCCACTGCATTCCCACAGTTCCTTGTGTGGCACTCAGAAGGACAGACACGTTCTCCCACAATTCACTGGAAAGAATCAGAGCAGTTCAGTTTACTGCAGCACAAAGAAGCATGGGATATGCCTCCAGAGGTACTAGCCCCACACAGAGTGCAGCTCCACTGAGGATGCTGTAACCAGAGTAGGGTTTTGTAGTGTGGCTGCTCACACTTGAGCTAAACTAACCCAGGTGCTCACTTCTGGGTGCCAATCACCTGGGTTAAACCTGTAGCGAAGACATACCCTTAATTGCTACCCCTGCTCCTGTCTCAGGTCTGCGGCAAAACCAAATGATTAGAGCCAGGAATTCCTCAATTCTAATTCTTGCCTTGCAATTGATTCATTATTTGGCCTCTATTTCCCCATCTGTAAAATGGGGGTAATGTTTAAGGTATTTACTCATAGGATGTTGCAGATCAATATGTGTTAAGTGCTTCGTATTGTTAATTGTTTCAACCCCTCTATCAGTACAGTTTGGTCAGTAATGAAAAGTGTTATTCAAAAGGATGGCCCACTCGGGTTCTACCATGGTCTGTCAAGCACTTTACTTCGGGAAGTCCCAGGTTATTTCTTCTTCTTTGGAGGCTATGAACTGAGTCGGACATTTTTTGCAGCGGAGAGACCAAAAGATCAACTAGGTATGTGCCAGCTTGTGGGTATGTGGGAAAGGTAGTCTCTCACTACAGAAAGTAGCATACTGCTCCTCTCAAAATCTCTCCGGCAATGCTAATTATACCTTATGCACTTACTGTATCTCTGCACCAAAAAAATGTAGCCCTGTAGAATAGCGATGTGGGAGCAAAACCAACACTATTCCTGTTTATGACTGTAAAGAACTGCTCAGACCAACCATTTTCCGATTTGACATGCATCATCTTGTTTTTGTATACTTATTTAGCTGATGTATGAGTTACCTGATCAGGAGAGGATAATTGTGCAAAAACTGTTTAATGTTCAACACTACATGGTGCACCACCAAACTGTTTATTGCAGCAAAGTTGTTCATAGTTTGGCAAATTATAAGCAACTGAAAACAGAGTCTTATCATGGGAAATGTCGGGCAACCTCATTAATAGGCTGTTTTGTCAGTCCTATTTATAGTACGTAAGGGCTATCTGGTTGTTTAGGATTCAGATGTTAGTACTGCAGAATGTGAAATGTAATTTTCTGTATCATTCCAGTATGAACACAAACTCTTGGAACTCTTGCATTCCTTATTTTGGACAATGCTCCTTCCGTGCTCTGAAGTGTCAGCCTCTGTTTGCCAGAAGCTGGTAATGGGCGACAGGGGATGGATCACTTGATGATTGCCTGTTCATTCCCTCTGAAGCACCTGGCATTGGCCACTGTCAGAAGACAGGATACTGGGCTAGATGGACCTTTGGTCTGACCCAGTATGGCTGTTTTTATGTTCTAACTTCATATGCACTTTCAAAGAGGGATATTGAAGATAGGAAACCATTGGGTCTATCTGGCTATTAAAATGCAAGATACCAGCGTTTGAAGGGACTTGCTTTTTGCTTTTAATAGTTTGTTTTTTAGTAGTTAAAGGTTCTTGCTATTTTTGGCCACTATTGTTACAGAATTTGCATAAAATCTGATCATAAGAGCAAAATGTGGTTGCATTTTGAAAATTGACTGGGTTTGTAACACTGCGGTCTCACTCAATAGACGCTCCCCTGTGTATGTTCAGAGTCATAACTGCTGGCTTTACTCAAGAAGTTTTTACAACCTTTTTACTTGTGCTAGCGCTGCAGAGCCAATCCAGTAATGGCAGCAGGAGTGAGATATTTTGTCTTAAGTATTAATTAAATTCTGATACCCCCCCCTTTTTTTTTCTTTCTTGTCATGGCCTGAACCATACATTCCAGGGTGAACTTAAAGGCCTGGCAGGCGAGTTGCACTTCTGAACTAAGAATATGTAAATTTAGAAGGAATTGAGAGAGCATAATGGTATATCTCTCCCTATGTTACAAAAAGAAACGTGCTTTCCTAAACTAGACTTTGTGTTGAAGGTTTGTCTACATAGTAAAACTTTGAAACTCTTATTCTAAATATGCTTGTGGCATTAGGAGGCTGGACTCTTTAGAAATCCACAACCACTTTGTTTAATCTTATACCTATGATACAGTGCACGCTTATCACACAGAAAGATGGCCACTTCTTCATAAGCTCTGTGCATTCCTTGTTTTCACATTTGTTCTAAAATAATTTCACATTATTCTAAAATAGAACCATCAGATTTGGGGGGTAGTTTGCACAGTGTATAAAAGCTTATTTCATGTTTTTAGGCCCTATTCCTTTGATGGTGAGTGGTGGTTTTGGAGGCATCTGCTTGTGGATTGCTGTTTATCCTGTGGACTGTGTCAAATCTAGAATTCAGGTTCTTTCCATGTCTGGAAAACAGGCGGGCTTCATGGGAACATTTGCAAATATTTTGCGAAATGAAGGTAAACATATCCAATACAAACTGAACCTGCAGGCTCATCTGTGAAAACTTTTCACTCCAGTATGAAAAATCTATTCTGAAACCTAGTTTGTTAAGAAGTTAAGGGGAATTAATTACACTATTCCCTTTTCTGTAGACCACAAATTACTATTTTTGTGAAATTCTCCCATCACCACCTTTAGAGACCAGGGAAATGATGCTACTAAAAAAATCTTTATGCTAACATAACTAGTTTCACAGATTCAGACTTAATGCATCTACTACACTCAGTTGTACTTTAGAGGGCAATCACTTAGTACTTACTGTAGTATCTTACCTGTTAAAGACAGATGAGTAAATGCACCCTACTGTCCTGCAATGGCTAACTTGTCATTTAAACATTGAAACTCCAAGCAGGTACTAGAAATAGATCAAATTTGTGGTGAATCTATCTATTTTTGAAGAATTTATAAGAAACGGTAATTTGTACATCTATAAAAGATGCTCAGTTGACTAGGAAAGTAGAAATTGCCATACTGGATCAGATCCAAGGTCCATCAGGTCCAGGATGGTGTATCTGAAAGTGGATAGCACCAGATGCTTCAGAGGAAAGTATGAGAACCCTGAAGCAGGAAGATGTGGAGCTAGCTGCCCCCCATATTGCGTCTTTTCCGAATCGCTAATAGTTAGATGGTCTGAAGCCCAAGGTTTAATATCCCTTCCAAAATGTTATTAAGATGACTCTGGATATTTATCCATATAGATGTCCAGTCTCTTCTGGAATCTTGAGTTGTTGGCCTCAACAACTTCCTGTCTCAATGAGTTCTACTCTCTGCTTCCTGATTCTTCTAATTAACATAATTGTTTTAAGTTCCTCTGCATGACTTCTAGAGAGTAGAGCATCAGAACTATTGCTGATCAGTCTTTTAAGAGTTTAACATGCATATTTCTAATCTGTTCATGTTTCATTTTGCAGGAGTATTTGCTTTGTATTCTGGACTAAAGCCTACTTTAATTCGTGCATTCCCAGCCAATGGTGCACTATTCCTTGCCTATGAGTACAGCCGCAAGATGATGATGGAACAGGTTGACACGTACTGAAATCTTCCAGCAGCAGGTTTAGGTTAACCTTTTTAAAAAGAACTGTAGGGCTTGAATGGATACAAAACCAATAGGGTGACATCATGATTTGAGAAACTCAGTCAATTTAGGATTTTAAAAAATCTTTTTAAAGTAAATGGATTTTGTAGACCTTGTATTTGTGTTTACAGGTTTTTTGTTTTTTTTTTAAGGGAGGATGGAGACATGTTAATGTTCTTTCCACCTATTGTGCTGCTCAAGAGATATAATTATGTTGCCCTGATGGAAGCGGTACTCAGTGTAAAGGGCAGTGATCTTTCAGTTAAGAGAGTTAATCTCAAATTTTAAAAATCTAGTTCTGTAACATCCATGGTACAAGAAGCCTGAATTTCCCTTTTTCATTGTTAGCAAACACAACTGATTCAAGGCCACACGGCACTGGTGCATTAGTAAAAGTAGTGCTACTCTTTTCATTATCAATTTTAGGGCTTGTCTACTCAGGGAGTTACTCTTGAATAGTTTCATCTGTGGATACGCTTATTCTGGAATAAATCTCATTCCAAATTATTTTAATCCACTTTAGACAGCCTATCAGGAATAGTTAGTCTGCTCTAAATTCACACCGTACGTTATTCTGGATTCACTTTCATGTGTAGGTGAGCCCTTAGTAAGAGTATTCAATGGAAACAGTAAGCTGCTTACATTTTACAGCCATTTCACCTCTTTGTAAGAGACTGTTAGACTACTGTTTCTTCAAGTACTTTAATACACAAGGAAAGGTAGAAGAGGGAGGTTTAGTTTCCTGAAGTGTTTCGTTTAAGCAATGCATGGCTAATACTTACACTATTTTAGTAGTGGAATTGTACAAATTCATTAACTCTGCCTTCAGTAGTTTCACCAGTAATGTGAAAACATTAAAGTAACTGGAACAGAATGGGTCTTGCAAGCCTAATACCTCATTTCTCTCTTTACCACCCCCCTTCCTTTTCTGTTTTAACTGATGTCTCTAGGTAGCCTCCTTCTGTAGGTTTGCAAGCAGGGTATGTCCAGTACTAGCTACCATCTTTGACGCTTTTAGGAAAGGGTCTACTTGTAGATGTCTAATACAGTGGTTCTCAACCAGGGGTACATGTACGCCCTGGAAGACCTCTGCGTATCCCCAGGGGTAATCAGCTCATTTAGATATTTCCCTAGTTTTACAACAGGCTACATAAAAAGCACTAGTGAAGTCAGTACAAACTAAAATCTCATACAATGACTTGTTTATACTACTCTATATACTATACACTGAAATGGAAGTGCAATATTTATATTACAATTGGTTTTTTTATATTATATGGTAAAAAGGAGAAAGTCAGCAATTTTTCAGTAATAGAGTGACACTGACATTTTTGTATTTTTATGTCTGATTTTGTAAGCAAGTAGTTTTAAGTGAGGTGAAACTTGCGGTACACAAGACAAATCAGACTCCTGCAAGGGGCACAGTAGTCTGGAAAGGTTGAGAGCCACTGGTCTAATATACACATCACAGTACGTAGGCCCAGCAGGGTGGTGTCTAGTTTACTACTACTCATCTTAGGCAAGGGAATGTCCAGAGATCCAAATGCCTACAGTAATACCACCTACCCCTCGATCCCTTCCATATGTCCGTGGGGCCTGGGTTGCACCCTGTCACCTCAATACCAATTGTTGCTACTACTCATATTGCTTGAACCAAGTAAGAAGAAAGTTCAGGTATTGTGCAATGACCAAGAATAGTCAGTGCAATCTCTACCCATTGGCCTCTTTCTTGGTCATCTTACAAAATAATCTAGGTTAAAGGCTGCCTTCAGTGGTCCCATCCCTGTGTTGAAAAAGCAGGAAGCCAGAAAAGAGTAGAAGGCCAGCATAAATTTTAATTGGTAGATGGATTTAAAAAACACCAAAAAAAAACCCCACCCTTCACCGTCAGGGTGTAGAAACTAGTAGGAAGAGGACCAAAACCGTGGGAGGATATAGTTTGGGACAGGGGTAGGCAAACTTTTTGGCCTGAGGGCCACATCTGGGTGGGGAAATTGTATGCAGGGCCATGAATGTAGGGCTGGGGCTGGGGTGCGGGAAGGAATGTGGGGTGTGGGAGAGGGTGTGGTGTGCAGGAAGGGGCTCAAGGCAGGGGGTTAGGGTGCAGGAAGGGTTTCAGGGCAGGGAGATGGGGGTTCAGGAGGGGTTTGGTCTCCGGCTTCACTTACCTCAAGTGGCTCCAGGGTGGCAGTGGCGCGCAGCAGGGCTAAGGCAGGCTCCCTGCCTGCCCTGGCCCTGTGCCACTGCCAGAAGGGGCCAGCATGTCTGGCAGTGGCTCTTGGTGGGGGGGCAGGTGGCCCTGCCATGCATTGCTCTTGCCTGTGGGTACCACCCCTGAAGCTCCCATTGGCTGCGGTTCCCAGCCAATAGGATCTGTGGGGGGTGGTACCTGCAGGTGAGGGCAGCGCCCTGAGCGGTCTTCCCCTGACCCCACCCCCACCCCCGGGCGCCTCAGTGGAGGACACGTACCAGTCTGGAGCCTGCTCCATAGTTTGATCTCAATGATGGTTGGAGGAATGGTAATACTTCAGCCATCATAATCCAAAAGGAACAAGATTTGGGGCCAGATGCAGTGGGTTAGGAAAGGATGTAGATACCCTTAAATATTTGCTACCATTGTGGAAGTCCGAGGTTCTTTGAGGCTATGGCCTTAAAATAGCTGCCAGTCAGCTTTTGTGTTTACCAAAGGGGAATGCTTTCGCCACCTTGTCATTGGAGCCTTTTACAAATGCTCATGGACACTCACATTTTGGCTAGAATGAGGGTAGCTATAGCCCAGGGGTGGGCAAACTATGGCCCATGGGCCAGATCCAGCCCACAAACCATTTTAAGCTGGGCCTGCGAGCTGCACCATGTGGCTCGGCCCTGCTCTGGAGCTCTGCCTGAGGCGCTGCGTTGGGGGGGCCGCACCAGTAGCTTGGCCCCACTCCAGCCGGGGTGCTGGGTTGGGGGGGCTGGACTATGCAGCTCGGCCCTGCTCTGGGTCGGGGGGGTCACACCACGCAGCTTGGCCCCGCTCCAGCTGGGGTGCTGGGTTGGAGGGGGCCATACCATGTGGCTCCTGGAAGCTGTGGCATGGCCCTGCTCCAGCTTCTATGCACTCCAATAAGAGCTGCAGGGGAGCCGCTTGAGGTAAGTGCCGCTCGGAGCCTACACCCCCTGAGAGTCTCCCCTCGCCCCTGCCCTGATTCCCCTCCCACTCTCCAAACCCCTTGAGCCAAGCCCGGAGGGCCCTCCTCCACCTCAAACCTCTCAGCCCCACCCCATAGCCTGCTGTAGCCTATCTTGGTGATAGTGCTGCTTCTTAGGGGAGGGGATGAGTGTTTGTTTACCAGTGCAAGGCATTCCTTCCTCTTCTCTGGCCCCAGTCACATTCTGGCCAAGTCTTCCCTTTGCACCCTCACAGGAAAGAGCACCATGGGAAGTAAACTGAAGCTGCCTTTTTTTGTTTTTTAATACTGTTCTGCTCTGCTGTAATGTAAGATAGTTCAGTGCTAGTTGGAGTCACTTTTGTTAAGCTCTTGCATAGTGTATATAGGAATAATGTCAAACCATAAAAATGGTATGCAAGTTACAAGGTAATTGTCAAATCTTGTACATTTTCATTTGAAAAAATAGTAATAGTACTGAAAGTCAGGTGCTGAAAGCTGGGTTGGTAGCGTCTAGGTTAATTGTATAGCAGGTGGAAGAGTGAAAATAGGATTTAATTCAGTCAGTAATAATTGTCCTGTATGGTGTAGTATTGCCCTTTTTAAAAATAACTTCAGCTGTATTTGCAATAGTTGATGTAAATCAAGCCATAAGTGTAGCAGAAGCAGGATTTTCAAAGACTTTTTACTACAGTCAAGTTACTGAAGCTGACACTAAGCTATTTCAAAGCATGTTTTCAGTTGGACTAATACAAAATCAGTGTGTGAACTATGTACTACCACTTCCATCTAGCAGTATGAATACTGCAGCTGTTTCAACTCTGTACCTGTATTTAGTCATAATTCCTTTGGTCTTCATCTTCCTGAATATTCTAGCAGTAGTGTTACCAACTATTCATGGAAATAAAATGTTGGATTTCATTTACAAATGCTCATACTGGAGCCCCAATTAAATTATTTATGCAGTCAGTGAAACTAAAATATACTCAGAGCCCTGTGTCTAATGCTTACAGCTCAAATTAAAAACTTAAATGACAGATCCTTTAATCTAACTGTGTTGTGGGTTTCTAGTTAATAATTGAGAAAAATGTTTTCTAGGATAAATTTAAGTAGAGGCAAAGACTTGTAAATTTTCCCAGCTCTTCTACAATTCAGTTAAACTAATAAGGCAGAAAACCCTTAAACATTGGTGCAGTGCTCATGCTTAGTCTAATATGGGTGAACATGATACAAGAGAATGTACACTGGCTGGTAAGGAAAGAGTCCTTTATACCTGGAAGTTAGTTGTCCCCTTATTACAAGTAGTCCTTGTGCCCCTAGCACTAGGGACAAGGTTGATTTCACTTTAAAAGTGAATTACAAGTTTGTCAAAATAGTCAAGCAGTTTGAGTTAAAGTAGGTTTTAAAATATTAAGAGCTGAGATTAGTAAAATATACTGCAGCTAGGTTAAATTTTAGTTATATATCAGGCAGTTTTACTTTCAAAGTGGCCAACAGGTGTTTTAGTTCTATTTAATGTTAATGTTTTCAGGAGAAGAACCTGTTCCAAAAAAGTTGGTCTCTTCTGGGCAGGAAAGATTCAGAATCCATTGGGCATTCTACAAGGCATTTTGAGCTGTGAATGAAACCAGATTCTGAAGCTTTGGTAAAGTGAAAAAGACTGTCAGTAGTACAAGCCAAGAGGAGACTGCTGCTCTTCCCTCCTTTCTCCCCCACTTCACACATTCCTTTTAAAAGCACCTCTAACACTGACAATTGTTTGCACATTTTGGGTCTCAGGCATGGATGCGGGGTACTTAAGTGTGTCTTCCAGTTGGTGGTAGTGTTTGACAATTCTACTTGCTACTTCCATCTTCAGTAAGTATTAATCTGCTTTTCCAATTGAAAAAATATGATCTACTGTTTTGGTCAAACAGTAGTTGCCTACCCTAAGTGTGGCTTACCTGGCCTCTAGACAAGCTGCAGCCTTACCTGTAGCAAATTAAGTCAAGTAATTTAAATAGCTATTATACTACATAGCTTCCTGTAGCACCCATCGCTGCAGCCTGATTTGAGAGAGCTCATTTAATCCTCAACTTTAAGTACTAGAAATGGCATCACTGAACACTGTGTGCATCTGACTGCCAGGTCAAGTTTGCTTTGTAAGTAAAGATGGCTTACTGCAATGGCCAGCGTGGGAAAGTCAGTTGAGATTAGAAGTCAGGTGGGTTTGGCTCCTGCACCACTGAGGAGATTCTGCAGGCTAACTTGTCTACTCACCCCTCTGTGAGCCTTCAGTGTACTTGTGTACTTGTACAGGAAAAAGGGCTATACTGTTCCTCAAATAGAGCTCAACTCACTTTCCAGTCACACTAGGGGTTCTGCAGTTATGACAGCACGTATTAAGCTACTGTAATCACTGTTCAAAAGTGAACTACCCTTCAAGGGGAACAATGGAGTTAACAGACCTACATCCTTAGTACAGATGTAGCTTCCAATAACTAGACCTAGTACTACATTTTCTATATTAAGGCTTAAGGTTTTATATTTGGGTGTCTGCAGCTAACTTCTGAAAGTGTTTGATATTTCCCTTTCTCAAAAAAAAAAACCTGTCACCATTTAACATGTAGAAGCTACAGCTACCTCATTGCCTACAAGGTCCAATCAGTGGCTGAATGTGACTTTTGGGAATTATAAATTTGAATAAAGTTTTTTGAAGTTAATTGCACTGTCATGAGTTATTACT